GAAAATTTACACAAAATGGAATGCAATGTACCGGAAAACCTATTTTAAAATGTTTGCGTCGACATGATATGGTACAATATTACCATCTTATAATTTCAACGGATTAAGAAAAATGTCCACTTATAATACTTGTATCAAAAGGAATTCATTTACCGCAATTTGCCGACCAAAGTACCCCCTAGGGCAAAATACCCCTATGAAATGTATCCGGGGTACAATATATAGTCATTACACATTATTATTATAATTATTATAACCCATGCTAAACAAAGTACCCTCCCCGTACAAATTATCCCCCGGTTTTTGGTCGGCAAATTAGGTACGTCCCCCACTTCCACCTATTCGTGTACTCCCAGTATTTAAACAACTCTTCAAATAATTCATCAAAAGTGAATCGATATGTAATTCAAGCATTCCAACATCGCATAATTATTCATGTAATTAATAGGTGTGTAAATCCATTGCATATTTTAAAAGCAAATCTTTATCATTAAACACATCATGAATATTTTTAAATTTATCAGCTAATCGTTGTATACGAAATAATTTATTAAACAATTGATATTATTAAAATTATTATTTAAATAATTTCTAGATTCCACCTTTATAAATATTGTAAAACAATCATATATGAGTGAGTTTCTGTAATTCTATGAAATGAAACTAATGACTCTTCAAAATCAAGTGAATTTCCATCTAAATAAAATATTTTTTAATATATTATACATTTTCAAATAATTTCCATTTAATTATTAATTTAAACGTTACTTTGCCTCCTTTAAAAATTCTTCAATTATATCTACGATACCATCAAACTTTCTCAATACCACTTCACTTTGACTTTTCTTAGCTATTGTTTGTTTTTAATATCTTATGATAGATTTCAAGATATTAAATGCCACTATTTATTATTCCAAGTGGTCTAAAAGATATATTATATCATAAGTTATCCATTCTATTACTTGATGATAGATGCCAGAATTTAGTTGAGATCTTGAATAATTTATCTATTGTGTCATTTCCACTTGTCCGCTCATCAAAATCATTTTTGAAATGTACAATTTGCACCGCCAACCATTACATTCTGGAATGCTTCAGACATTTCTGTTCGCTTAAGGTAGAAATTTTTTTTTTTTTTAAAAAAAAAAATTTGTATCAATGTACTGTAAATTGCTTAAATATTGTCATAAATGTGCAGTGTATTTGGAATACTTTAACCTATCAGTCTCAAAGTTTGTCTTTCACAAACTACTTTTTTTAATACGCTCTATCTGCCAGTAGGTCAAGCAAGCCGTCGCTCTAAACTTGCCTATCTCGAAACAGATAATAAATATATTATATTTCTCTTTAATTCTTTATTTTTAATCTGGAGGCTCAGTGAGTAAGGTGGAGTAAAAGTGTTAACACAGTATCAAATAATATTTAACAATATTTCGCAATATCGTGACACAAAAGATAAGTTTATTAAAATAAAAAGTTACAAGTTTAAAAGTAAAGTATCATTTAATGACAGAAATATTACGATGGGTAGCGTGTCTATTTTACCATCCCTAAAGGAAGTTTACTTTTCTATCTAATAATATTAATGTTCGAACCTATGCATAATTATTAATTAACTGAAGTCAAAGGTATTACTATGGCTACCAAGACTCTGAGAGATTGCTACTTCTTTTATACCTTTTCACATTCATTTAATTTTTACCCGTCATCCTTCGTACTTCATCCTTCATCCTTACACAATATCTTTTGGATGACAACACCAGTTATTATCCTAGGTGATCTTTGTATCACTATTTATCATCCCCCGTATAATTGCCAATTTACTTCGCCACAATATGATGAACAAAATATTAGTGAGTTGCCAGAATAATATTTTAAAAAAAATGAATGTAATTTTCTGGATATTATTTGATATTCTATATAATCGAAATTTAGCAACTTTGGGAATTAAATAGGACAGGAATAACACATAAATTAAAATTTCACGTTAAAAATCAAGTTCAGGCTACGCCACTAAGTAAAAATTTCTTGTATCATAAAAACAAAAAAATTACTTTTGTCATTAACATCATTATTTATTTATACTAAGATCTTATTAAAAAATTCATCAAAAAGTATCATCACATCACGTTATAACTCATAAACGAACAAAAAATCATATTGCTTCTTTATTTTTCGGGTCTCGTTCGAAACATTTCTACTGTCAATTCAGTTGATCCACTTTTTCTATAATTAAAAATACGAAAATAACTTTGGTCAATGTGCTGCTTGCAACTTGAAAAACCTGAAGAACGACACCCGAAATATTAGCAACTATACACTGGAAAAGGCTTTGACAGGAACAATATATGAGAAATGTAGTCCAGAAGTTCAAGTTGGAAGTTTTCTTTGTAACAGTTGCTATTGTACAATTGTTGAACATAACAATTATAAAAATATAAAAATAACAAAAAAAAAGTATTGTACGTATTTAACATATCTCAACCAAATAATCAAAAAAAAGTGTAACTTTGAGTATGGATGATATCAAAGATTAATTAATGAATCAAAATCAGCCGAAGAGTTAAAAATAGAAATTAAAGATCAATTGAATCTGCATAATAACCTTTTTAAGATTTTTATAATATTTAATAATATACTAATACTTTTATTAATGTTTATAATTATGTATAAATAGATAATAATATTTTATGCAATATTTCAATAATAAAAGACAACGTCTTAATAATGTATTATTCATCAGAAGCGCGAAAGAGTTTTAGAATTTGTAACTTTAATTGAGAATCAGGATCAGCATTTTTAATCTTATTTTTCAATCTATGAATCCTAATGCAAAAGGGTGGGAAACAAAGAATCTTTTAAAAAAAAGTATGTTTGCTTTGTAAAAATGGTAGCTTACAAAACAAACAAGTTAGTGGAACAAAAAATGTTATTAGACTGGTCCAGAACGTCAACTATTGGCATCAATACTCTTTAAATATAGGTTTAAGTGCGTTACTTTTTTTGACTTCACTCACGATTTGCGAGCGTAGAGCGATTTTCTACTAAGATATTTCTAAGATAGTAAGAAAGACCTTGCTCTTTATTACAAATTTATATAGGTTTCATCCCAGTAGCATCGATATTTGCGGAAATATTCGTGTTTAAATTCTAACGTCCGTGAAAAATCTATGGCAGAAATTTTCACTAACGTTTTTCTCTAAATTGGAATAACTCAGCGAATATCGATTTTACTGAGACAAACCACATATTATTTTATAGCAAAGAACAAGTGCTTTCTTTTTACCTTAGAAATGCTTTAGTAGAAAAATCGCTCTACGCTTCGAAAATAGCGAGCGAAGTCAAAAAAAAAAGTAAAAAAAGAAAATCCTCCTAAAAAAATTTACTGATGTTATCAAACTGTTTACAATAATAAAAGACTTTTAGTAAATGTGTATGAACATTTCAAGAATATTTTTCAAAAATGTCAATAATTTTTCTTATCTTTTGTAATTTATCTATTTTTTAATTATTTGCATTTATTTAATTTAATATTATTAAATTTTTAGCAGCAAAACTTTTAATCCTTAATATAGACGATTACCGTGACTTGCATGAATCTTGTATCCCAAATGTAACTTTTATTAATTATAATTTCTTTGATATTGGAAACATCGGATTGCCATGTTTTGTATAAAAAGAAAGAGATGAAAGTATTGTGTAAAAATATCTAAATAGAAAGAAAAGATCGAAATAAAAATATAAGCTTCAATAGTTGCATTTGAATGCAATTTCTGCATCTCAAGTTGAGATAAACTTCCATTACAGCTGCTTTAAACAAAAAAGCCATATAAGCATCACTTTTATAAGTGGAAATCATTTTACAAACCAAATTTTAAATGAATTTAGAAATTTTTTTTTTTATTGGTGGTAGCTTGATAACAATTTGTATTATCAGAAGAACTAAGAGCGAAACACGTTGTACAATTTTAAGTTGCAAAATACAGAAATTCTTTAAAATATATTGTATGTCCAATTCAAGGCAGGTTCTAGTTGGATGTTAATAGCTAAAGTAATTTATTAACATGAAGAAAATTGCTAAATATCACCGCAGGTGATTGTCACCACTGGGCAAAATTAAAATTTACGTGGGCAAGGTTAGGGTTAGGGTTGATCAAAGAATTGTGAAATTTTGCCCAGCGGTAACAATCATCTGCGTGATATTTAGCAATACCGTTATCATGGATCTACATATTTTACATTCAGGACAAAAATAGAAAGATTGTCGTTCCGAAAACAGTACAAACTTTATTATTTTTAGAATGCTTACAAATTATGGTATCATGTATGACAAATTATTTTTTTTTATTGTTCCCTATTCTGCCTTGAATGACAGCATCTCATCTCATCGTTAATTAAACCAGAAATGGAATAGTCTTGGGTGTTACGTTACGATAATGAATTCCATCAAAATATGCTTCGACATAAGTATTGACATTAGAAGTAGATTATATAGCTGCACGTTTGAAGAGAATGACCTGGACAATCCTTTATTTTTTCTATTTCTCGAGACATGAAATATCCGTTTTTAAAAATTTTTTAGCTAAATTTCTTTATTAAAATTAATTTACTTATCTAATCAAAAAATAAATAATAGCTTTTGTTCGTTACACATGATCTTCAAGAAATTTATACTCTTTTGGAACGAATGACTTTTCATAATAACATAGGCACAAAAAAAAAAAAAAGTAATGGCTTTCAGGATAAGATTGTCACCCGAAATGGAAATTAAGATTATGATTGATCGGCAAATTTAAACTGATTCAACCCAAATTAACAATAAATTATTTTTAGAAAACAATATTTTATAATAAACGTGGCCACAAAAATTTACCTTGTGATTTTTATGTATTATGTATTATATAAATAAATTTCTGATCATTTTATTTTTCTTTCGAATCTATTTGATTTTCCTTTCAAAATTCACTATTCGTTCGAAATTCATTTTTTTTTTTATTAAAATGGTTACCGCGAATCAATTTGAGCCTTTAATCGGTTTTATATGTGGAGCTGCTGTGATGGTAAGGTTTTGCAACAAATATTTTGACATAAATATTTTTTTAGCTTACATTTTTACTTCTTTGAATTTAGATATCTTTCCATAATCTTTTCGTATCTATCGTTTTATACAAAGCTCGTAAATCCAATGTTTCTAATATCAACAAAATTATCTTGAATCTTAGTGTCATGATACTTTTCTTATTCAGATTTTCAATTGGATTTACACCTACCCGAGTAGATTTACGTAGTTGTCAAATTATATATTATATTCAATATATTGCATCATTTGTTTTTAGAACATCCTTAGCATTTTTTTTATTGTGGCGTTTAAGACAAGTTGGAAACTCGCAAATAGATAAATGGGCTAGCATCTTTTTATTATCAATAAGAACAATACCTCATGTATGTTAAGTTTCTCAAATATATTATTACTTTCTTTTATAATTTATTTATCCTTATTTTTTTTTTATGGATACAGCTTACAGTATTTGGTTTTATCAAAATAGCTGTAGCCTCATACCCAGTTCGAGATTATTGCTGGGTTGATCAATCCAAGTTTAAAATACCAGAAGTGATCGCAATAGTCACAGACTTTTCGATTGATATATATATTACGGTCAGATTAGTACAAATCCTTCTTAAGGCCAATAAGAATACAGCAGGTCTCAGAGTAAATGTGGGTAGGGAAAAAAAGCGAACATTATTTACTGCAGTTATGTATTGGAATTTTGTTCGTTTGGCAGTGGCTTTTGGAATAAATTTAATGGCAGTTTTGAACTTACTACCTTTGACTTCCGAATTTGGTCAATATTTTGTCAAGCTCTTTTTTAATACATTTTTCTTTGTTCTAATGTCATACGTTGTGACTGTGGATGCTGAAATTGTTAAAGTAATCGAAGGTGAAAATCAAAATAAAAAAAGATCAAGTAAATCTACAAATGAAAATTCCAGTTACCCTAGTTCACCCACGAATCGCGCGACTTATAAAAGTGCAGCATTACTTCCAAAAAATAATACATCTTCTTCACCACAAAGTGATTATAATGTATCCGTGAAAAGATTGTCATTCTTTGAATGGACTAACCTTGTTTTGAGCTTTGGATCTGGAAAAAATCATACGCAGGAATTTACCCAAGAAGAATTTGAAGAAATTATTGAAGGATCTTCAGAAGCTACCGAACGTGACCCCGAAAAAGGCGAAGCTACTAATGATCCAAATCGCAGCAGCAATATTAGTGAAGGGTCAACAATTATCATCCAAAATACTGAAACAACTAACGTTTCAAAAATTGTACAATAACATTTATTTACACATAGTATAATTTAGTTTTTTCCTTTAAATTCTTTAAATTCTTGTATAATATGTATTTATTCACTTTAATGTTTAGCAATCCTACTATTTATTCCATTATAATAACACTTTATTAACAAAATGAATAATGAATAATGTTTAATTAATATTATATTTAATGAATCTGAATTGTTTTTTATGATTGGTTCCCAATCATTTGTTATAAATTCCAATTTTTATTAAACGAAAAATTACAGTAATACAAATTGGAAGTAATGCAAAATTATTGTTATACATTTTTTACACACATTGAAAATATGGAAAAATTTATAAGCGCATTTGCATTTCAAAAAACATGAAATAATACAACAAAAAATGTTAAATTTCAAATGACGAATGAAAACGTTAAATATTGAATGCTAAATGCAGAAAAAATGTTATGTACAAAATATCAATTATTCTGTATGAAATGTGAATATTAGATTATAGAAAACTATAGGTAATGAGATGTCTACATTTTCATTCTGTTGAGAAAAATATTACAATGGGATTATGTTCCTTTTATTCTCATCTAGGAGAATTAGTTTTCTCTTCTTCGAGCCATCCCAAGTAGGAGGAGATTGACTTTTTATGCGCATAACTAGTTGGGCATTTGTAGGAGTAGGATTTGAGGAATAGGATTTGGAAGAACGCCACGAAATGGATACTGGATCATATTTTTCAACCACTTAGTTTGCCAATCAGTTGATGCCGAACTGGCTCCGGACTTTTTATTTTAAAAATATGAAAATAAAGGACTTAATTAAGTGATTTTATCGCGATGTATAATTTTGTAGAATGACTGGATCATATCATAAAATATGACTGGTAAATAAATGAAGAGAACATTTATTTTATTTGCTAATTCTTTCATTGTAAACGTAAGATAAAAAATTTAAAAAAATTAATGTGATAATTAATGCACTGAATATTGTGAGGAACATATAATTTAAAAATTGAACAGACAAATTTCTTATTGTATTCCATCACACTTGAAATATGAAAATATTCAATTTTAGCATTTCTTATTATCACGATAATTGAATTTATTAAGTGGAAATGTTAACATAGAAAATATACAAGTGAAATCTATAATGTATAAAATTTCATCTAATAAAGGCAATAGAATTCTTTTAATAAGTCCAGGTTTAGAAATATTAAACAGAACAACAAGTTATTGAAAAAGTGTATTAAAATGCATCAAATACATCTTGGTAGGAGGATGTATAAGTATCATTTATCAGTGATAAAGACGGAAAATGCATTTTTAAAGAAAGAGATCCACGGAATTTACATAAAACAAAAAGCTCTATTTATTCGTATTATACACAACCAGAAGCAAGACTTTATAAGATTTGTACATAAATATTTCGATAAACTAGAATTATTAAAGATTCAAGGAAGGAAAATATATTCGAATTTTTTTTTTTTACAATGTAAACCACCCAACTAGTCTTGATCCCAAAACCATTTATCACATTTTATTTGCTTATTATACTAACATATAATAAATCTCAATCAATACCTCTCTCCCTATCGATCTTAATTACCTTCTCTCCCTTAACACAATCTCATCGAATATAAAAATAGCCACACAAGTGACTATCATACCAATTATTTTTTTTTTGTTTTGGATGAACCAGTTGAATTATCACCCTTACTTTCTTCAACCTTGGGAGCATTATATACACTAAGAGCAAAAGTGCCTCCGCAAATTTGGGATCTATTTCCTACACGACTAGAACTGCAATGATCTAGACTTAAATTAATATCTTTGAAAGTAAAATCAGTACCGCAAAAACATTGATTTCTTGCTTCTAATTCTGCATATCCAAAGCTCTTGTTATTACAGTACTTTATGCACTTATCAATTGTATCAACTTCAAATTCCTGTCTCTACACTTCAGTACTATGCAGAACTATCATTAATGCAGTTTAAAAATCGAAGTTTATATCGTAGATTGTTACTATTTTTTGAAATTATTTAATTATGCTTTTCGTCTATATTTTTATTTCCTCCGTCCGTCGACACTTTTTATCTGATATCTTTGCATCATAAACTGTTTCTCTACCGCACTTGTATAGGTTGTCTTAATTATAATTGTACGACTAATGACAAGTTTTATTGCGAAATGTACTGTTTATTTGATTATACGATAACTTAATAGTGTTGTTTCCACAGCAGCACTCGTTTCTGTTTTTCAGAGTAACATATTCAAAAAAGAAGATGTCACAATGGATACTACATGATATGGGATCCATCAGGTAGTAAACTTATATTTATAGGGATTAGAAAACTTAGACCTGGACGACTTAGCAAACTAAGTCCATTTAGAATCTTACTAGAATCTCCTTTTAACTCATAACATCATATTAGATAGTCATAAGGTTTACCTCGTTGAATTTGAGTTTTAAACAAATCTTAAAAGAGATTATCATTGACTAATTATATTGCTCATTTTAGCATCATTAAAACGTATATTATTTTGCACTTCCAAAAATCGGGGTCGGATTATATAAACCAGGTACAGATTATTAGAAAAAATACACGGGTGAAACCAGATTAAAGAGATGCTTTAAGTATTGGTATATTCTCATATAATATATTTATATATTTATATATAATAAAAAATATTTGTTTATATTCCTTTTGTACTTAAATTGAATGTACCTAATTTTTAAACATCTTAAAGTATGATCGAAAAACATAATTTTACAGATACTTTTTCAATTGAAGAATAAAAATTTATTCATTTTTTTTTTATATTATATTATTTTAAAAAAAGGGCTTGTTTGAAATATTCTTTTTTTTAACAAATATTTCAATGAATTTTTTTGAATTCATGACAGATATTTTGTAAAATTAATTATCAATGTCACTAAAATTTATTATTGGTAAATAAAAAATTCTTAAGAGTAGATATTTTGATGATATTTTTTCACCCGAAAAAATCAAATCTAAGTTAAACGAAAAAGAAATTCAAATCAATAATTTCAGTTATAACTAAATGATATTATAAAATAATGTGCCTTTATTATCTGATAAATATGGCTTTGAAACTGAAACTTCGAGAGCGAGATGCAATATATTTTCTTGCGAAAGATAAATATTTTTATAATTGATGATAACATGAATCCATTATTTTTAAATCCTTTCCAAATTATTTTAAACGAAAGATTCTGTGAACGAATTAGCCATTCTATTAGAAACAAATATATATGGAAATAAACTTTATGATTTTATGAAATGTATCAATGAAATTAAGAAAAATTATAGAAAAGATTGTGAAATTAAATAAAAGCTTTAAATTATTCAGTGGAATAAATATATATTTATTTATTTCAAATTTGCTGACAATTTAGATAAAGAATATTTTCTAACCTTATAAGAAATACGCATATTTAAAAATACTTAAAATATAATTAAAATATTATTGAAATATTATTAAAATATATTTAAAATATACTTAATTATATTTGTGATAATCTACTTAAAATATTATTATTTTATAAATAAAATATATTTAAAATATACTTGAAAATACTTAATTTAGGTAATGGGTAGGGTAAATATATTTTAAGTATATATTTAAAACATACATAAAATATTATTAAAACATATTTAAAATTAAGTATATTTTAAATTCCTCTTTTACCATCATTGGCATAAAAAATACATTCATCATATGTGACTAAGATAATCTCTTTTTCATTTTCAATTAAATTTGGTGCAATTCGTTCCATCTTTTCACCATCATATTTTGCCATGAATTTTTCATATTCAAAAATTTGGTTTAAAAAAGATTTCCAATATTCCACCACATCAGAACGTTCATGCCCATCATAATATGTTCTTTGTTTATGTGTTTGATAAAAATAACCAGGAATATTTAACCATCTAGTTGCAGTTTGTATACTTATTGTTTTTTTTTATATATATTACAATCAATTAATAAAGAATTTTCAATATATTCTTTGAATTTTGCTGGTGTTATAGATTCTCCTTGCATTTTAATCCATGAATGGCATTTGTTCGATATATCTTCATCATCAACTAAACAAAATATTTTTTGATGTTTTCCTCTTAAACTAAGTGGAAGTGTATTATATTTTAACCAAAATTTGGTCCATTTTCTAATTAAATATGATTTATGCGTTATTGATTCTAAAAAAATTTATTGTGCCACTTCTTTACTTGCTTTTAATTTGCCTTTCTCATTATTATCTAAATGTTTCAAATATTCAAATATTGCACGTTTTTTATTATATTCAACAATATTGATATCTGAACAGTTAATTAATTCATTCTTCAAAATATTTATTTTTTCATTAATATTTTCAGATTTCCATAATTCATTCTCTTCATTATCAATTTCTTGTAATTCATTAATCTGATTATTTGCTGTCTCATTTGTAAAAAATGTAATTTTCATGGTATTTTTTTGCTGCTTTGGTAAATGAACCATTGGGACCATATTTATCATAATATGTTGATTTTGGAAGTTTTCCGGTCATATATAAGCCACGCTTGCCTATACTTTTATCTGTTTCATTTTTCCAAGTACGGTCAAATTTTTGTAATCTTTGAAATCTTTCATTCTCTTCTATAAACAAATTATCATCAATATTATTTTCATTATTTTTATCATTATCTTCTTCAATTTCTTCAATATTTTTAACTTTTTTAACAAATGAACCATTTTTATCACGTTCTTGATTTTTGCATAAACTTTTTCGTTTAGAAATACGTCCCATTACATAACTATGGATGCATTTACATATGATTTTATATAAAATTATTAAGATCTGATTGGTTGAAACTATAAATCACTTGACAAATATATTCTGAAATTTATTTTTTATTATATATAAACATATAAAATATCTATGTACTTTAAATTTCAATAACTTTTTTATTTTATATATTAAAAATAAAGTAATCTGTAAAAAATACACCTATGGTCTTCCTTTTCAATTTTAACAGATTATTTTTTGAATATCTATTTTAAGTAATAAGTTATTGGTTTTTAAATAAAATCAATTTTTATAAGGTCTTTAGATGAGTTGCACCATACACGTAATATTAATAATATAATATTATTACTTGCTTTATTGATGGTGATGATGGAGTTGTTGATTTTTTGTCAGAGTGTTTTAATTTTATTCATCGATCAAAATGTTGTAATAATATTTATTATTATTTTGTTGTTGTAATTGTTGTAATTGACGTGATTGCTTTAATTTTATTATTGAAACTGATAAATATTATTTTATTATTATTATTATTATAAATTATAAATTATAAAAAGAATTTTAATAAATATTTATAAATATTTGTTATTCATTATACTGGATTTTTTGTTATTGAATTTTATTGCAAGTTGTTTAATTATTTTATATCATAAAGTTTATTTAAAAACTAAATTAAAATTTTATTAAATACTTATAATCAAATAATTATAATTAATAATCATAAATATATCTATAATGATATTATTAATAATTCTTTCAATATATTCTTTTTTTTTAATATTCTTATCATTAAATTTTTTTTATTCTTATTGTTCTTTATTTCAACTGTGACTGTGATTGGCATTCTAGTTATTGTATTAATAAGCGTTAAATTAAAAAATTATATTTTTTGATATTTTGATTTTCTTAATAATTTTAATTATTTTTTTTTAAAAATTTACAGTTGATTTCTTGATCAATGTTACATTTATCATTGTATTTAATTAGTTCAAGCTACTGTTTCAACTATCCTTTGTTGAATGTATTATTATTATGCTCTTTATACAGCTTTAATATTCTTTTTATTTTATTTTTTGTTGTAATTCGTCTTAAATAAAATCTTATTATTGATAGATAATAATTGAATATTTTGTTCATTTAAAAATATGAAATGTCATTTTTTATCTTACTGATCTAAGATTTATTCGATCAAATTTTAAAAAAAATATTTACATATTATGGCAACCAGAAATTAAGTTATATGTATGATAAATAAATTCTATAAATGATTTATTTATTGGGATCAAAGATTTCAAGGTAATCTTGTTTATTATTGTATTCAACGAAATAATTATTATAAATGTCGAACAGGGCTAAAATTATTATTTATTATGATAAATTATTATTTATTGTATTAGATTAGAAGTGTTTGATGTTCACGGAGATAATGAAATTAGGAAGATCACTAATCTCAAGAGTTGTTCTTATGTAATTTGTATTCCTTCACTATGGGAATTCATTCCATAGTATATAACGCCCACATAAAGGTCACTATTGTGAACATTCTTTAAATCTCGAAAATTCTTTATAGCTGTCTGTTTTTGAATTACTGGAGAAGGCATCAAAAAAAGACCGGTGTTCTTAAAATTTCACATTATGATTATCAAATTTATCAAATTAAATTTCGGGTATCGCATATCTGAATCAAAACAAGAACCATCCAAATGTACTGATGATGAAAATACAATGCGATCAATTGGTAATTTAACAAAAATTTTAAGATATATATAAATCCCACCATGAGTTAAGTGTACATATTGTATATACTGTACATTAAAATAAAATAATTATTCAATGATATTTATTTTGAATTTGTGACGTATTAATTAAAAATTGAAAATATTAAATTACATTTTAGAGGAATTATTGTTATCAGACACATTACATAACTAATAATAAATGTTTGTACTCACTTAATCCCATTCTCCTTATTGAACTGACATTATTCATAGAGGTGTCACCAATATAAATCACATACATAGTAAAATGTCTCTAATATTATATTATCGAAAAGCATATAAATAAATAATAATTTTCAATTTTTATTTGTATTTTTAATAATTCAAATAAATATTTTTATAAAAAATGTAATACTCAAACAAACTAATGAGTATATAATTAATATTTTATAATATTTCTTGACAAATTTTACTTAAATTCTTTTAAAATGACGATTGATAGCTATTAATAACGATTACTTATCTGTTATTATTCTTATATCATAAAGAATATAAACAGAATGACTAAATTTCTCATAAAAAAAAAAAGAATGTATGCTGCTTTAAATCATTCTTGGTAAAATTTTGAAAACCTCATACTCTTCCACTGAAAATAAAAATTCATCAGAAGCAACTGACGGGAGATGTACTAATGGACTAATTAATTCATCAGAACGAATTGGGATAGGATATGCAAAACTAACCATACAATGACATTTTTTTTCAGTTTTCAAATTGCCTTTTAAACGTAATGCAGCGCCAAAACTCAACCCTGGATACTCTGGATAATTATAAATGGCATGATCAAAATCCTTTACTACTCTGTTTAAAATAGAATTTTCCATATTTTCAGCCTTTAATGAAAATACAAAACTATCCTCGGTCTTTATCAGTTTATTTTGATTATTATCCCATTCAAGAGGATTATACCCTCCCAAAATTTCTCCCGTGCCTTCCACTTTCAAAATAAGAATTGTATTAGCTACTTTATCACAAATCTTATAAATAGTTTTAATATCAAATCCATCTCTAGATCCTCTAACAATTAATTCAAAGTCATATGGATTATTTCCAAAATAAGGAATTTCTTTTTTATCAATCCATGATGAAATTTCAAGAGTATGTTCACTAGTGATAATATTAGAAGAAAATGTATTTCCAAGTGGAATTGTTTTATTTAAAATATTCCGAGGCGATAACACAATCGAAGAAATTGGCTTGCTTGGTGTAATAAACTTAGTATTAATATCTAAAATAAGTTGTTGTTCAAGAAGTTGTTGATATGGGTAAATCTTTTCCATAAAATCTTCTCTAGGAATACTAAAATATCTTATGTGTGGGAGACATTGTTTCAAAGTTTCTTTCAAGGTTAAGAAATTATCACCTGTCCATTCTTTGAGATCAATAGGTAACGTAGGATGTTTTGCTTTTCCCCATTGAATCATATATTCCCAAATTTGACATTCTTCTCGTTGCAAGTCATCTCGTTTGAGAATAGATATTAATGCATCTTCAGGAAGAAAATGTAAATTTTCAGATTCAAAGATAGTATTGGGATATTTGTCAATGGTATCATTACAGAAGTCTTGAATAAATTCGAAGTTTTTGACTTGATAACTTGTTCGATAAATTTGAGAAAATTTTAGCCTTAACCAAGAAGCACAATTGTTGATAAGATGAGTTTGGAGATGTTCAACTAATTCATCCAATTCAAGTTCATTAGAAGCAATCAAGAGGTCAAATATATCCGAATTTTCCAATTTTTCCAACGAAAATTTTCCACCATAAATATATCTAAATAATATAAAATTAATATAAATTATAATTAAAGTAGATTACCATTTTTATTTTCTAAAAGTAATATTTATACTTACTTAACAATAACATCAAATACTTTAACAGAAAAATTTGCCAATTTTAATACTTTGACATGATCTTCATTGAAAGTAATTTCGTCAAATTTCTTTTTAAAGTAAGGACTACGGGATTGCAAAATAATTGAATGGACTTTATAAATATTGGCATCTTCTTCACCAACTTTTATTGAGACATCATAATTAACACCGCTGTTAAGAAGCTGAGTAAGGTCATTTGATAAACGGTCATAAAATAGAGTTGCCATTTTTTAACGAGAGAAAATAAATTTCATTCTATATATATTGTTTGTTTTTAATAAAATAAATAAGCACATCTCTCGGGGGATTTTCGGAAATTAGTATGGTAATATAGAAAATTAGTATAGTAACGAAAAGATTTTCGGTAGTACAATTGGAATTATCTTAGTATGTACAGCACAATAATCCCCGAAATTATACACTTTTATAAATAATAATAGTATTGAATAAAATTTTATTATACTAACTAAAGCAAGGTAATATAGAAAATTAGCACAGTACGATTGCGCAATCTAATAAGTACGTATATGGGGTTTCGGAAATTAGTATAGTACGATTACGAATTTTAGTATAGTACGATTAATTTACGGTAGTACGATTCGAATTACACATCTCTTTATGTACGATTACAATAATCCTCGAAATTATATACAAATAATAATAGGTATATAGTATCTACGTATAATAAAGTTTAGTTAGTATAATAAAATTTAATTCAAGCAAGGTAATATAGTAAATTAGTACAGTACGATTGTGCAATCCATAGATGATCGGTAGGGGTTTCGGAAATTAGTACAGTACGATTGAGAATTTTTTACAGTAGTACGGTTGAAATTATCTTAGTACGAACTTTTTTTTTCGTAAGTTCTTATCCTTTATTCAATTCAATATTAGGTTTACAATAATAGCATAATAAATAATAAATCAAAATAAGTAAAATACATATTTAGAATAAGGATTGGCTAAGGTAACATAGGCAAGCCTATATTAAACTATGACCTGACCAGATACGTACCAGTAATTTATTACTCCGAAGAGGTCAAGGCCCCAAGTTGTCTATGTCAAAAAGATTGTCATGAATATAAACTATTGGTATTTACAATTCCTAATGTTTCTTTGCACTACCACTCGATTTCTTCTTCATTTTATTAATAAAATACTGTCTATTGTCATGTTTCGTGATTTTAATCCATTTTTCCCACTCAATAAATTTTTCGCATCTTTTGAGCCACACCTCCCATTTCTTATCTGTCAGTTTCTCCCAAACTACCTTTATTATGGAACTTCTATCCTCGATGTATTTAATATATTTGGCCTACATTTTTTTGCATGTTTTCGGGACTAGCCTACG